ACATCTCCAACATTCGGCACAAGGATTTCAATCCCAAGGTTTCGTATTCGGGAAAGGGCTATGCTCTCCGAGGATCGATCAAGACGGACGAATTTCGGATCCAGCTGCTCGCCTTCAAACTGAACGAGCTCAACTGTATGAAATACCGACGGCTTGATGTAGATAAGCTGCCGGATAGGCTCACATCGACTCTGGGTGGGACAGGCCAGTACCTGACGGAGATCCGAAACGTGGTCAAGACGAAGGAGGACGTTGAGAGACTTTGGGGATGTGACCCTCTTGATATCAAGATTTTGGGGATCGATTTAGGAAAGGCCTTTGTCGTTAGAGCCAGTGCCCACTTACCCTCCTCAGCATCAGTGACCGCACCGATGGACAGGAGCAAGGAGGTATTGCCGAAATCGAGATTCCTCCCATGAAATTCCACAACCTGGCAGCCAGCCAGAAGGCGGTGTACCAGCCAGCGTTCAAGCATAGGAGATGGCTCGAACAGAGGAAGGAACGTTCAGCCGAGGGCCATGAGTCGATTGCTCAGATGGAGACCAACTTGCCGGCACTCCGTGGTCCAGAGGCGTCAATCGCAAACCATGTTGAACAGTCAAAGTCAAGGAATCGGATCTCAAAACGTTTTACGACAACCTTGTCCTCAAGGAACACCTATGGGATGACAAGAGAGCCAGGGACAGGGAATTCAAGCTGGCCGCAGAACGCCTTCTGAAGATGATCGGAGGAACTCCTGGCAAGAAAAGGGATAATGATAACAAGGTGGTCATCAGTATCAGACTCGGGGAGTTTTCTTCAACGCCGCGGTTGTCCTCCCTTCACACAGCATTCTCCGCGTACTTTGTGCAGCTGGTAAGTATTTGAGCTTGCTTGCAACCTCCATTTCACTGACAATACAAGGATCGACGGTTAAAATTTTTTTTACTCTGGTATCGTTTTATTTAGGCGCGATCGCAGGAGTACAGTGCCATGGGTGTCAATGAATATTACACATCCAAGCGCTGTCCGGTCTGCAAGGAGTTTGTGGGTCAGGTCGACATCCGGCAACTCTACTGCCCGACGCCGACGTGTGGAGCAAAAATTCATCGAGACGTCATGGCTGGTCATAATATGTGCAATGTCATTCGAGGACATCTTCTCCACTAGCAGCGCCCTCATTATTTGCAGCCATACGACAAGGAAGGAAACTACATTTGGGAAATGGAGGAGAGTAGTCGGTATGTCGAGTATATGGTGGTGTGGCATATAGCCATATTACATGCTGCCACCGCGTGTATTTAATTAGATCCAGCGAGTCCTATCAATTTATTTAAGCCACCGAGTAACATATAATGTTCTCGGTGGATTAATATTAAAGATCCCTCTCTTGTTCTCATTGACTCCTGGTTCATATATACTTCGCAGGTGGCACGATTGGATGTGACGGAGGCGGAACAACCAGACGGAGGCGGAACAACCAGACGGAGGCGGAACAACCAGGCGTCGAACGGATGGCACCAGAAGACGAGGAAACTGAGCCAGATCGGCGCAAGAGACCAGTGGCATTTTTTTTTTTTCAAATAGTTAGACAGACCAATTTGTGTGTATAAGTCAATACATAGGTCTGTGTTTGGGTGGCAGTGTAGGGCGTGCAACTATGGCACTTCGGTGACGTAGTTTACGCCTGAAATGTACTGCTACTCATGCGCCTATGCGTGCCTCCTAAGAGAGAGGGTACGATCCGCGGAAGCTTGAGTAAGCAGTTGTGAGATCCATTTTACGCAAGAGAGCGAATTCGAAAGGTCGTGAGAACCATTTATGCATGCAAACGAAATCATGCGGAAATAGACTCTAGTGTGGGAAGCGAAAAAAGGACTGAAAGGACATGTACATGTACTAGACGAGTTTTTATATTCTTTTGGTGGACCCCTGAGATAGGGGACGGGGAATGCGCATCGTGGTATCTCCCTATCATCGTGACTCCACCATTTTTACTACATATGCGTCCGCCATCTTCCAGAAAAGCAGTTGACCATCCTTTTCACTCATCTCTCAAAAACATCCTTTACCGAATCCTTACTTTCCTCCCCTCCTCCCTCCCTCTCCCCCTCTCTATTCACCTATCAAGGTAATTCTATGGTGGATGGGGAGGCATTCATCTTTTATATGATATGTTTGATTTCGTTTACTGAACCACCATGTTCCTTTCAATTAGGACCTTACAAGCAAAAAATGGTGAAGCCGATGCTTTTGACAGCCGCTTGCGCTCTGTTCCTGGGCGCCGTTGCCGGTATCCCATTCTCGTCACCACAAAACAGCTGCCAGGACTTGGCCGAGTTTGTCCAAGGAGCCAGCAAGCTGCCTGTCAGGCCAGATGAGGATGGAGTCGTCAGCTACGTCTCAGGCTCGACAGCCAAGAAGATGTTCCCCGGAGCGGCCAATCGTATTTCCATCTTCAAGAAGTACACTTTTGTCACCTATTTCAACACGTGCCATGCAGTCCCAGCCTACACGCAGGTGCAGGTCAAGTCGGGCCCTTACAAGTTGGAAAAAACATCAAAGTTTGCCTACGACTTGGGTTTGCAGGTTGGCATGGAGGCCAACCTCGCCAATGTATTTAAGTATCTCCCCACTGTCTCTGTTAAGGCTGGTATCACGCGAGGCACCGAGACGGTCGAGGTCGCCGGTGTCGAAATCAAGGCCAGCGAGCTCAAGCAAGAATGTATTGTTTCGCCAGGATGGTGGTGCACCGCCTTGGTTCGACTCGATGACTTTGACAGCGGCGAGATCATTATAGATGATCGCATTCGAGACCCCGTTTTTTTTCCTGCGTCGCTGAACGGCAAGAATCTCTACTCGGATGTTTGGCTCGATGTTCCCACCAGAGTTAGACTCAACCGCTTCTTGTGGCAGGGCTGGGTTATCTAAGTCATATAAGTCATATATACCTTCTTTTTGTTCGCTTCATTCCAAAGAGCAAAGAAACTAGTCGGTGAAAAAGGATAACGAATAAAAGGTCATCGAACACCGTCAACGCAGGCAGACCGTAAGGTCGTCCAGCCAGGGTGATTCAATTCGCTTGGATTCTGGATTGCCATTTGCAAACGTGGTAAAAGGGAAGGTGGTGAGAGAAGATAAGAAATTCATGGGACGGATACGGGAGTAAAGGAAGATCAGGGAAAGATCAAGAAAAGGCGGCAGTGGAAATACAGAAACATGGAGAGGGCACCAGGCCAAGGAAGAAAATCGAGCAAAGAACGTGAAATGGAGATGAAAATCGATGCATTTTCGCCTGTGTTCCAGCACGGAATCCCAGTAGCGAACAATGGCAGCTAAACTGTCATCTGAGTAGAACTGATGAACTCTCTTCCTAATGACCTCGTGCGTTGAAGCACCGGCACTCGTCAAAAACGACCGAATGGAGAAGCCGTGAGCCGACATAGTGTGGAGAACAGCTAAAATGTCCTGATCCCTCTGCCATTACTGGCGTGGAGCTAGTCGGGGCTGAGATAGGTACGGCGCTGCCATTGCCATCCGTTTGATAAGAGCATTGAACAAAATTGAAACCGGAGGTCATATGGGGCGGTGTTGGTTGTGGGTGTTGGTTGCGGGTATTGGCTGCGAGTTTTGGTTGCGGAAGGGATGGCAGCGGATATGAATATGAGACAAGATAGACAAGGCGATTGGGTATGCGCTGAGAAAAAATGTCGACGCAAATAATGTAGCGGTAGAAGGGAAAGAGGCGTTTATTTGCTTAAAAATAAAGGTTGGTAAAGGGTGAAAGAGATACAGAGGAACAGTGTAATGGTAGAAAGGAAGAGTGATGAGAGAGGGATAAAAGGATGAAGGGGATGAGGGATGAGGGTAGAGATCGTCATGAGAAATTCAAGTTATAAGGATATCGACATGCCATGGGACAATGCCAGACAACTTGAAGACGAGTTTTTCAAATCATCGCCGCTGTGGTCGCAGGCGCCAGATGCAAACAAGGGGCGCATCAGATAACGTGGTTGACAAAAGTGGTCGTATTATTTTAAATGGATTTAGTACGGCCTTTTTTACATTATTTGATACCTGTATTATCTCGATATCCAAAACATAAAAGCATGAACCTCACTATGCGGACAAGGACATACGCCCAATGGAATTTAAAAAAAACACAACTAATAAACTAGTTCATGTTGTGGATTTTTCTCAGACACCATGAGAATACCTGCTTCTCGAGATCATTTCCCATGGCATGGGCTTTATTTGACCCAAATGGGTCTTCTTCTCGACAACGTAAGTGAACGTTTGATACATGAACCAGTTCATTAGTTGTGTTTTTTTTAAATTCCATTGGGCGTGTGTCCTTGTCCGCATAGTGAGGTTCATGCTTTTATGTTTTGGATATCGAGATAATACAGGTATCAAATAATGTAAAAAAGGCCGCACTAAATCCATTTAAAATAATACGACCACTTTTGTCAACCACGTTAGCACTTTTTTTTTTTTTTATTGTAACGGAAGACTTACCCAACTCCTCAATTTCACCTGCCTAACCGACTTTTTCCTTATTCAACACAAGCGTCAAGATGTTTTGGGAGAACTCCTATATAACCATATCAAAAAGGAGCTTCCGTTCCTTAAAAGAGATGTCCTTGACCTGATCAGCAATTGCGAAAAAGAAATTGCCAACATGGGCCCGCCTGTGTTAAGCGCAGCAACGGCTAAGAACAAATACATCAACAGTATCGACAGCCTCAGGACCTCATTAATCGCGCTTCTCGACGGAAATAGCGCGTCTATTCGAATGCGTTCAAAGCGAATTTGGACTGAGGTGGATTCGATTCGATTCAAATAGATAATATTAAATTCGATTCGAATTTACTTTATTCAAATCAAAATTCGGTTTAAGCCAAATTCGATTCGATTAATTCGAATAGATGCGCTACCTGAATGGTGCAAATACCGTCACAGTAAGATAAGAAACGCGACACACAGCGCAAATTTTGTTTAAGGTTCGCTCAACTCTAAACAGAAGGTGACTATCATAAAATTTTGTTTAGGTTCATATGTAGGAAATAAAGTATTTGAAAGTCGCGGTTCTTCAAGATGTTGCGTAATTTTTATTCGACGTCAGCACTACTTCTCCATCTTCCATCTTTCCAGCGCCAAAATAGGCTAGCACCACTCGAAACAGCATTCGAGATAGAGTCCGCGTCAAAAAGTGCCAACGCCATATATTTTTACAATAATAAATCTTAATTCAGTCGATTGCATGGCGTCAAAAAGTGCCATCCCAAAATTTGTCGATGTGAAAGAATCGAATTGAACAACTTCCTTTTTGGTACAGGTTTTACGTACAAAATTTGAAATTATTTTCGTGGCCGCTTTCTCTGCCTCTGCTTGCTGGACGCGTCTTGAAGAAATAAAGGTTTCTAGGTCTGATTAGACTAACCCGATGAGATGATGATGATGACCATCCCCTGCACTTGGTGGAATAGCCTCTTCTTTGAGTGTAGCAGTGCTAGCAGTCCTCAGACATAGATAGAAAGGGAACCTCTTTTCCTCGTATCTTTGCTACTCTTTACATTGTGCATGCAGCTAGGGAGTTGTGCTGATTGATTTTTTTGGTTAGAACTTTTCAACTACAGAAGTTTTGCTTCATAATTGACAAGGTCTAATCAAAAAAAAATCAATCAGCACAACTCTCTGCATGCAGCCATGCAACCATGTCATGCCTGCAATCGACTGAATTAAGATTTATTATTGTAAAAATGTATGGTTTGGCACTTTTTGACGTGGACTCTAGTATTTTGTAGTCGCTTGATGATGATGCCACATTTTTTGAAGCCCAGCGCCACATCGCGCTAAATGCAAAGGAGGCTTGATTTTTGGCACATAATTCGTAGCAGGTCATTTCCCGTTACTGCTTTTCCAAGCATTGAAATGGGCCTTGTGATCATCTTTGCGCATCGTCATCGACCTCACTACTCATCACCTTGACATGTTTGGCATAAATGGCAGACTTTCCTCTCCTTCCTCCATCCCTTTTCCTCCGTCGTTTTCGCTGTTTACATAGCCTGACGCTCGACATACAAGCAATTATACACACTGTCTCGCATCCAACACTTTCTGCATCATGAAGCAACAGCTAACCGGTATGCTTGCGACCACATGGAGTTACTGAACGCAATCTTTCTTCTTGGATTGATTGTTTTTTAGCTTCTAACACCTTTTTATTATATTCAATCATTTAGAGCAAGAATTTGAGGCTGCGTCTAAGGAGCTGGATGACTGTACGTTCTGGATCGACAAGGCCAGCGATACGGCGTGGGTGATGATGCCAGGGACCTTCGACGTAGACGAACTTGAAAAGGCTAAGATGAATGGACGCGCCGAGGAATTTGTCAAGAGCAACTACGCCTTTTCTGCTCCATTCTCACAGCTTTCCAACAAGAAGAAGTGGGTCTACCGAGACGCAAATAACAATTCTGCTCAAGTGGAGAAATGATGCTGGTGTTCCAATAGCCTGTAGCCGTGATCAGGTCACTTTTGCTTTGGGGAAATAAGTTTCTGTAAAAAGAGAAACAGGTAGCATGGGTATCCAATGAACAGATTGCTAAAACCTCACAACATTTCAATTCTTATGTTTCAAAAGCGGCTTGGACTCGGTTTGAGATGCAAACGATGGATCACGTTCTGGCAACGCAAGAACACAAGGCCAGAATGGTCTTGAGAAGTAGAGACGACTGCATGTCGCTACAGCTACTGCACCGTCAAAAACATAATAGCTGGCAGAGTCGAATAACATGAAGACTCAAGCTTATTATCCGAGGGCCAGGACCATATATGTCCCACCCTCTTTTCCCACCCTGGTTCATTTCTGCACGCCCTGGCTCTCCTTTGAGAAGATAGTAGGCATTCATGGTATACGAGCAGAATTTATATCATTTTTTCCTTACGGGTAGTTTCTGGATTTTCGCGTTTTATTTCAATAAAAGAAGATAACACATATATGGTCCTGGCCCTCGGATAATAAGCTTGAATCTTCATGTTATTCGGCTCCGCCAGCTAATGTGCCCCTATTTACTCTTCACCTTGGCCTTGGACCTTTGCCAAGATTGACAAATAATGTACTTAGTGGTCTCTCTCCCTCTCTTGGCTGTGCGCGCTTTTTTACCACACCTCCAACCAACCCTGCATCCTCATGGCCAGCTGCAAAGGCAAATTATCGAGGGCCACAAGTTCGTCTTTCAGGAAACCCATAGATCATCCAAAGTGCATCCATCCTAGACTGACTTGAGCGCTGACTTGACCTTGTACCGCCGCCTGTCGAAACCATCTAGCAGCCTCGACATAGCTACATAGCTTTGTTGAGATATCGCTTTGAGCCTGAGCCTACAAGTCCTGAATGTTGTCGTGGCTCAATAGTACTTACATTGTCAAATATTTTTTCGAGTATCCCTTCACTTTTTCTCTCCCATCGCTTCGGACATACAGACGTACGAACGCCAAAACTTCAAAACCAGTTACATTTGCATTCACTCGCATTTAATCAAGAGGCGATATCTTAGTAGAAACAAACGTGTTTGTGAGTGTGGGATAGAGAGAGAGTGGAGGGAGAGACGACTGGGCGAAGAAGGCTACATCGCAGAGTGCACGACAAAACCTGCTCCGAATGTAGGGTTCAAACGAGCATCAGCAGACCAAACTATGCGGCGATGAACTCAGTCAACCAAATTACCACTCCTCCTGCACACAAAAGCGGTTTCGATAGCCTCGCCAGTAGTTGTCCCTGTCAATTCGAACAAATGTCCACCTCTGACTATCCTCGCCACTAGCGGGCTGAAGGGTCACATGGGGAAACTCGTCCACGTTGGCAGTGTAGACCAGGTCCCTGTTAGGAGCCTGAATCATAAATTTGCCGTCGCCCGCTGATGTCATGGTCCATGGTTCAGGTGCCATTCGCGCACTCACATAAACCACGTCCTCCCTGGATACGAGCTTGTAGTCATCGTGCCGACCTCTCCCCGCAGAAATTGTGAAGGCACCATTATCAGCCAGGTCGACAATCCACTTTTCTGCGATATGATTTGGTACAAGTCGAGCCGGAACGTCGATAGGTGGGTAGATTGGTGGAACGGGGCCAATTCCAAGGTAGTTGCCTCGATTATCCTGGATGAAGTATTTTCCAGGCTCAAGCACCCGGGCGATGGCCACCTGAACGAAGAACAAGCACAGCACGAGGAAGGATGAAGCAATCATTTGAACCATTCTATAGGGAAAAAACGAGCAAAGATGGTGAGAAAACGATGCGCCGTGATAAGACTTTGACAAGCGCAAAGCGTGTTGTTGCTCTACGCTCACCTTGGAGAGAGGTATGGTTGGAAAGGGTTGTTTGTGAGGAGGTACTTGGTGAATGCGGCATGACGACCTCTTTTTATAAGAACATCCATCCAATATGCTATTTTCTTTTTCCCCGTTGTTGGCCTGGGTCCCTTCGTTCATCCTCTGGCCATGGATTTTACCCACCCCCTGAGTTCTGCTATGTGCGATTACACGATTCGCACCATTTAAAGGTAGACATAATGCCACTTTTATAACACCATTACGCCATTCTATCCAGTTCCTGAAAGAGAAAAGAGTGCGTAGAATAAACTCCTAGTTCCCAAGCTACGCGGCATATAGGCATGCTAGAAGGAAACAGTCATTGAGTTTTTTTTCGACAGAAACATCACAAGGCGCACTTCACTATTGCGGTCAAAGCCACGCTTTTTTGTTCACGGGTGCTTCATTGACAGAATTGGCGATTAAAATGTTAGAAAAAAAATTGAGAGAGCACTTTTATTTTTCTCACTTCCCAAAGGTATTCTTACGGTTTACTAGAGTAAACAGCTGTCAATTGCCACCAGTAGAGAGCTCGCTTTTGCCATAGCATGGGGGTGGGTTATATCCATTATGCGCATAATTGAACGCGTAGCGTTTAGCATGCCTCGTGCTGGAAAGAAAGGTCCTCAGATATGGGATTTAGTAAATGTGGTTTGCAATGTGGTTTTTTTCTTCAAGAATAGAGATGCTACTTCTTTGTACAGCCATGCAAATGTGTGTCAAATACGGCACAATACTATGAGGTAAGCGACTATAACATCCCCAACAACAACAACAACAAAAACAACAACACAAGACTACCAGCAAGGGCGAAATGTAGGAAATACTAGACAAATACTGGTAAATGGACCCTTGAGAAAACGAGACAGGAATGAAGAGATGCTTTGATTTTCCGTTAAAGGTGCAGACAATGAACATGGGCAATGGACGTGTGGCTGGCAGGGACCAAGATTTTGACATCTTGACATGTTCTGAGAGGATTTGGCCCATTCCCGTTGTGAACAGAACCACCGCGATGTTCATTTGCAGCCCGGCTGTTGAGAATGGGCACCAGGGGACCAAGTGTACGAGAGAGAAGGAAAAAGAAGATGTGTTTATTCCTAGCTACTTCGTAAATTAAAAAGGGAATGACCTCCAGCTCCGCTGAAGACCCACCCGTCATATTGCTGAATTTGCAGGGACAGAGCCTGTAATTCTGCACACCAGCATTGCAACCAACTCAGGTTATATCCATGACTTCTTGGGCGTGAAGGCAAATGGCAGCCCTTCGGAAAAGAGAACTTGAGGCTCGGTCGGATGGTCTCCGAGTGTTGCTTCATAGAGCAGGGTGCGGGTGTCCGATGCAGTGAGCATTTTCACAGATGCTTGCCAGTTTGGCGCACCCGGAATGCTCCGTGCAGGCGTTCTGCGTACATTCCCGCACCTCTCTAAGACGGTAAAGAGGATCGACCAGGCAGCTGTGGGGAAATCGCAGTGCCAAATCTTGGACACCAGAGAGCGCACGATTGGAGATCAGGCAAAAAGGAGTGCAGTGTGGGCACTTGGGCTAACACTTGGGCAAACACTTGGTAAATACTTGGGGAAACAGCTGGGCAAACAGTTGGGCAAACGCTTGGACAAGCAGTTGGGCAAACAGCTGGGCAAACGCTTGGGTTTTGGGCTCCACTTGGTTTGCGCCTAGTACACGTAGTGACAATCTCCTCCCTACTGCCTTTGAGTTTATGGCGATCCAGCTGTTGTATCATAGCTCCATTGTGGTCGCGGTAGGTTAGCAAAGGCCAGGCTATCCTTGCAACCTCAGCCTGAGTTGCATTTCGATCTTGAGCCTATCTATGATGGCAGAGATGGAGAGGATTACCAGTATGAGTGTCTCGAGATGACCCTGGAAAGTGGACTGGATCAGCTATAGAGCTTGAAGAACCTCCGAGTGCCGGATGTTCGAAGGATGGAGCAGCTGATCGGTCTCAAGGAGGTGTAAAGGAGGACTCTATACTGGTCGAGGCTGAGAGTAATTCGGGGTCTTTACGACGATAGTTGTGATGTTTTATGCACCTGAGTATGAGCCAAGGAGACAAAAGAGCGTGTTTGTTTATTATGCTCCCGGTAGGGGTTTTTATAGCCCCGATCTGAGGCTTGGAGTATTAGATAGCTTAATAGTCTCATGAATAAAAATGGAAGTGGCCTAAATGTGAAGGTTCACCCCCAGTACAGTCCCGATTTGGGGTCTGGACGGAACAATAGTGACAACCTAGAGGCAGCAGAATGGCTATGGAAACACTTCCCGATGGTCAAAGTAGAGGTATCATCAAGAGTGAACTGTTACTTCAAGGATCTTCTGGATAGAAGAGAGGAAAAAATCGACGGATGGGCTGCGTCCAAAAGGCGCCAGAACAAGTGCAAAGAATGTGGCAAGTTGGGTCACAACAGCGCAAGACGCAAAAAGAAATAGCGGTAGTCTCCACCATGTCTATACCCCACAGTGCATTAAAGGCTTCACTCACCAAGATCAACAATCCATTGATGAGCTACAAGATACGCATAATCTCATCTTCGTCACGGGAATGGTTGTCGAGATGTGAATGTTTGAATGATAGTATCTCATGCGTAAGAGAGAATTTTTTTTTCTTGTAGCGGAGGAGTGGCTGTGCAAGGCCATCCGTGAGGGTGGAATGAATGGATCGATGCGGGGCATTCCATCGAAGAGAATCAAAGATCCTAGATTTTCTCGATATTTTGTCCGCACTGCTTCCAAATCTACTCTAATTTGCCTTGAATTGATGCAATATGTCGCATATCTCACCATTATCACAGCGGGAGCCGACCTATAATGTGTCACTTCTTTTCTTTATTTTTTGCACCGAAAATCCAAAGCAAATAGACAAAGGAAATAAAGAAAAACAAAAACAAAACTACTCGAATGCTCTGAATACGCCTCACAGTGCCAGGAACAGCCTTCTCTCCAACAATCGAGGACGTGGAAGGGGTCGGTCCGGCAACAATCGAAAAAACAACACTCAGCACTCTCAGAGTTACCAAAATTCGGGCTCTCAGCAGCCATATCAACAGCAACAGCAGTTATTCTCCCAACAGCCAGACAACGTTAACCAAAATTTTCAGCAAGCCCAAGGCAACACATACAGGGGACGCGGTCGGGGCCGCGGCCGAGGGCAGACAACCAACCCTCAGTAGGTGGACGGCTACACCTATACCAACACGCGTGGACCCTCCTAACGGACGAAAAATGGATTCGAGAAACGGTCTCACAGGGCTACAGGATCCGTCAATAGGCTCAACAAGACTCTCCCAGAAGGAGACGGAGATCATCGAGAAGGAGATCCTGGCTCTACTCACAAAGAAAGCCATCGAGACGGCCACATCGAACACCGGGTTTTCCAGTCAGCTCTTCCTAGTACCCAAGAAGACGGGAGACCTCCGCCCATGTCTGAATCTGAAGAAACTGAACCAGTACCTGCCAGAACGATACTTCAAAATGGAAACAGTAAAGACCATCTGTTCACTTATGAACAAAAAGGATTACATGACCTCCATAGATCTTTCGGACGCCTTCCTTCACATTCTGATCCATCCCTCATCTCGTCGTTACCTACAGTTCCAGTGGAAGGGACAGAGGTACCAATTCAGAGTACTCCCATTCGGCCTCTCTCTCCCCGTTGGTGTTCACCAAGGTCTTACGCCCAGTCCTCAAATGGGCACGCCGCCGCGGCATCCGCATCTCCGCATACCTGGACGATCTTCTGATAATCGCCTCCTCCAAGCCCAAGGCAGCTCAACACACCCAGTTGGTCCTGGAACGGCTAAAATCACTAGGCTTCTTGATAAAAAAAGCAAAATCCACCTTGGAGCCCATTCAGGTCATCGAGCGCTTGGGGTTCACAATAGACAGCAGATCCATGACTCTCTCCGTCCCCCGTCACAAGGTTCGAGATATCCGCCGCGAAGCGCGCAAACTCAGGAACAACGGCGTCAGCTCATTAAAAGCTTTAAGTTCGTTCATCGGCAAGGCCATGGCAATGACCGCCGCCGTCTTTCCAGCACGTCTGATGTGCCAGCGTCTCATGCAAATCAAGAACAACGCTCTGCGTGCCGGATCCGGTTGGGAGGACAAGATCCCCCTATCTCAGGAAGCCAAGGACAACCTAACATGGTAGATCGACAACCTTCAGCATTGGAACGGATTGAGCTGGCTCACATCTAACGGTTCGGCGGGACCCGTTCCCCGCAACTGATGGACCTGGCGGATCAACTATGGCGCCATTGTTTGACAACAGAGACCAGACTCCAAACGACATACGTTCCTTCAGCCTTCAACCCAGCGGACGCACCATCCAGGAGGCTGACGACCCAACTAGAGTGAAGTATCGACCGCCCATTCTTCCAAACGCTGGATTCAATATGGGGCCCTCACTCGATCGACCTATTTGCCCCTCCCAGGAACGCCCAGCTTCCCCAATTCATGACGTGGGAACCTCACCCTTAAGCGCTCAACTTCAACGCCCTCGAACGACCATGGACCAAACTGGGCAACCTTTACATCTGTCCCCCTTGGAATCTCATCCCACAGATTCTCCAGAAACTTCAGTTGGAGAAATTAGAGGCGACAATAGTGGCGCCGGCATGGACCAGTGCGATTTGGTATCCGACAACTCTCTCAATGGCAATCAAGGACCCTCTCACGATCCCCAGAAATGCAGTGCTTTCGCCTCCGGGCGCGGCACCAAATGTGCTCGAGAAGAACCCGCATTGGAAGCTCCAGGCATGGCACGTAAGCGGCGCCTATACTCCGAACTAGGACTCAGCTCAGACGCGTCACATACGATATTGGACTCGCCACAAGCCCAACGCCGACACGTCGCTTACGGTCCTGCCCAACAAGTCTACATCCGATGGGCACAAGAGCGGGATGAGGACCTGTTTCACCCAGATCCAGTCCTTTTCATCAACTATCTCGCTCACCAACGCCGCACAAGAGTTTGGAAGCCGGCCACCGTCCTCGCTAAGCGCTCCGCCATTTTAGATCTGTTCAGCGATCGATCGTCAATCACGGAGAGCATGGTTTACAAAGATTATGTCGCTGCGCTGAAGGCTACGGACATAAGCCCGCAGAAATCGGTTGCCTGGACATCTCGCCTGCACTTGCCTACCTGCAATCGCTGCCCAACAATGACGATATGGTACTAGTCCAGTTGACGCGCAAACTTTGCTGGCTCCTGGGCATTTGTGGCTTCCTCCGCGCGGACGACATTCATTGCGTTGACATCAACAAGACGACCTTTGACAAGCGGTACTTGAAGCTCTTTGTTCTTCTTCCTAAGGAGAGACGCAAGGGCAAGAGGATTGAGAAGGTGGTGTACATATCCGCCAACTCTGACCCCAATCTCTGCCCCTTGGCTGCTTATCAGTCCTACACCTCGCGTATCAAGGATCACCCAGTGACGGTTCCGCATCCCGAGGACAAGAATTTTACAATTTGCCCTCTCATTCGTAATACTCTTCGCCTACATGCAGCTGTCTCTACGCAAACCATCTCCAATCACATGGATTCGATCTCGACCTTGATCCCTGAGGTTGAACGCTCCACCCGTCGTGTCAAGCCCCGAGTCATTGGATCTACCATCGCCGCCGAGTCGGGTATGTCTATTGACGACATCATTGCACATGGCAATTGGTCCTCTCCCGACGCGTTCCAAAATTTTTACCGTCTCGCGAGTAGGACCAGGTCCAATTTTACTGAGATCACACTCAGTAAAAGTTCTGGATCCACATTATAGGTCGGCTCCCGCTGTGATAATAAAAGGTCCTACCATAATCCCCCATTGTTTCTGGTTCCGTGTGGACGATGTCCTGCGCTGGGTCCCGTAGAGACGACATGCATCGTTTTCGATTGCGGTGTTTGATGCACTGAAAGAAATACTGGGTGCTGCGTTCGCCTTTCTCCATCCAGCGTAAGCCTGCCCATTGTGCCAGGCCCTTCATATGGGGGTCTACCATGGTTGTCAGAGCCGCCTTAATCCGATCTAGAGCCTCCTGTGTCAATGCAGCCAGAGGATCCTGTCGGTGTAGGGCGTCCTCATGCTCGTCGAGAAGTGCCGGCCGCTGCTCCTGGAGACGCTTTTCCTCCGGGACGGCGCGGGATTTATGAAGGATCAAGAATGAGATACTCGCATTCCGGACATGCTTTTTGAGGCGACCCCAGTGCTGATGGGGGTTTTCCGATGTTCGAGAGACGGATCCATGTCTAGGGTAGTGGTCAAGTAAGTGCGGAATTCCTGCTGGCGCAGAAGAGAAGTGTTGAGGCGCCAGGCACCTTTTCCATGACGGATCTGAGAGGGAGGCTTGATCTGGAGGGAGAGGTGGTCGTGGTCGGTGAAGTTGCAGGTGTAGGTTTGGGAGACTGAAGGGCTGCGGGGGGTCAAGTCTGGTGATAGGGAGATGTAGTCTATGGTAGATTGGTGGCGCTGCGAGCAGTTAAAGAAAGTTGGCCGAGGAACGAGACGCGAGCCCAGCATGTCGTCGACCATGTGGGGCCGGAGCCAGTCTTGGAAAGCTGGATACTATGTTTGATCGCAGCCGTAGATCCGATGGCACGAGCCTTGGGTAATTTGGCATCCTTTGGCAGATTAAGCTTGCGACTGATGAAAGCGATGTGGTTACTGATGCGCTCAGCTCCGACATGTCGGCTAGGATCCCGGACATCGCGCAGGAGGGGGCGATATCGTATCGACGCGTATTTAGGATGATGAACATCAAAGTCATGTCCTTGGATGCGTCGGAGGTATTCGGTGAGGGTATTGACCGGGCACAAGAGAATGTCATCGTGACTCTTGACTGTGGTGTATCGGCAGATACGACTACCACCACGTGTTTCCTTTGGGATCAAAATAGGAAAGTTCGACCTTCGTTCAGCACGTACAGTCACCTAACAAATTTTATTAGCGAGCCATAATTTTTACCCATGCTTTTGCGCATTCTTTTTCAAATTGCCTATATACAACACATCTAAAGAGCTATGCAGTCGCTATGGAAATTTTCATGTCTGTCGAAAGAAGCTCTTGGGGGACATCCATGGTGAATGTTAGGGTGTTAGGGTGGTGAATGCTGAAGGAAAGGGTTGTGGCTCGTTCAATATCTGCCATTACCACCAATGTGCTTTTTCACGAACTCCAGTCTCTGGAGTGTCATGTCGACCAGCCTTGCCAGCTGTCCTTGCGATAAAAGTATTCCATTCCTCCACTAGAGCTCTCACTAGTGTTGCAATTTCCCGAGATTGTCTTTGTCGTCGATTGAGAGAGGTACCAAGGAAGGACCAGACATGCTCGATGGGGTTCAATTCTGGGGAGTTGTCTGGCCAGTCCTCTATCTTGCGAACGCCGTGTACTTGGCACTAATCCTTTGGCAGTGCGCAGCTGTGCACTGGGGCACTAACTTCCATGGCGGTTACTCAAGCTGCTGTCGATTGTGCTTGGAGAAGAAAAGTCGTGCTGAAGAAAAGATGTATTTATTTGCTCATGGTTAGAAAAAATTAAAATTCACTAATTAATTTTGTACACTGGGTGGAAAGGATAGGGGCATCTCATTTTCCTATTTCACCACTACTGTCGCCAACTCAACCGTTCCTTCCTCTTAAAAAATATGCCACTCCGCATACTCGCAAGGACAATGACAGCGGCAGCGACATCTCCGGCAACTACACTACTTACAATGACAGCCACACCGATACTGACTGCAACGACGTTGATAGCGATGTCAGCCTACCGAGGTGTAGGATATCTACGTGAAGCTCATAGGTGAAGCATGGACAGGAGAGGCGGGCAGGTGATACAGAGATGAAGAATGCAAAAAAGGCAAATACCAGTTCACAAGTGCATCATTTTTTTTTTTTTTTTTTTTTTTTTGGCAGAAAGCGATAGAGAGACATGCTACGCTGGTCGTCGTTTGTGCCAAAAAAAAAAAAAAAAAAAAAGGATTATGAGTCAATGGCATTGCGCATAGAACTTGGGTGCGGGTGCCAAGTCCAATGCTAAAAAAATAAAATAAAAAACAGCGCGAACCCTATTGAACTTCAGCCCGAAGTTCGAGTTTCGTAAGCTGCCTACTTCAGTGCAACATGACCGACTTCATGGAGTGCCTCAAGAAATATCTGGAGCGTTCAATGGAGGCCGGAGAGGAGCCAGGCGGAATGAACTTCATCAAGAGCGTAAATGTTCATTCGGGATTTAGGGGCAGTTTGGGCGCCGTCTGTACCACTCACATCAACACATTACCGGAGGAACAGAGGAATACCAAACTCAAGCAATGGACACAGCAGGGGACAGAGAGAAAAGAGTACGGGAGAGCGCGAATTCGGGAGGAATGAGATGCTTGATGAGACCTACCACCTGCAGGTTACCCAGCTGACATATCACTGGATGATCGACGTCCATCGAACGCATTCTAATTGCTCCACGTCTACCATCATATCCTGGATTTTAACGTCTTTTTATCAACTCATTGTAGAATCCGGATATAATCAGACCGCTACATGGATTAAATGCGCCTTCAGAAGCTGATTGCCTCGCCCTTTGGCCGGCAATCTTCCAGGAAGGCCTGCCTCTGAACTCTCTTCTTTCCATGCATCTGTAAGTTGTCGTTTTTGCTTCTGTTGCTGTTATTCATGTTGCAGCAGCTGTTGTCGCTCATTATAATTCCGTTTAATCCTGTAGGGACGAACAAGGACATTCTGCGTCTGCTTTGTCCAAATCGAATCTGGCAGATGTCTTTGAAACAAAGATAGCGCCTCGAAAGTGCGACGGGTTATTGAGCGTTGACCCGGTGGTGACCGGCAATTATGAGTGTAAACTTGCGGGTGCATCGAGACAAGAAGTGGCGTGCCAACTCAGTAAAAAGATTAAGATCAATAAAAGCATCTTGCTTGAGCAGGACAAGTGTGAATTGGAGCGTCCACTACTTCTCTCTATTCATGGTAGGGAAACAAACACGATTGTATACCCGGCAAAGCTCGTATACTAAGGTCTCTGCACCAGAATGAACCGTCTTTCTTTTTTGTGTCTTTAAGCATACTGGCAATCGTCTTCGGAGTACGAAGGTGGCATGGCATTTGGATGGCAGGCAAGGCTTCCAGCACCATCGCGTTGCCGTCCACTCCTGATGAGCTCCGCTCATTCTTGGGGGGCCTAGTTCATTGACTTGCCCAATTACTGGTACGTATTCATTTATCACCGTAAGAATGTCCTATTAATACCAATATTATCCATTTTTTTTTTCTTATTAGAGCCACTACCACGAATATGCAGCACAGGTGCATTGAGTGTATCAGCAATACCAATACCGGAAGAAAGGCGAAGACGAGGAGGATGTCGTCTCATCAGCCCCTAAAAGCGTTGCCAAGACACTCGAGTGGGAACAAGTTGCTCTCCATACTCCAACCAAAGTCGCCAGGCGGCCTTCTCCGCTCGACAAGCTCAAGCGTCCCAAAGAAGAGGAGGGGCATCGTTGGTCCGAGGAAGAGGTGGAAGGCTGATTGTAAATGGGGAATGAATCGCTCCTATTGATGTTTGAGGTATAGGGGCAGTTCTTTTGCATCTTACAATAGATATCGTCCTTGATGGCACAGTTTGGGGATTTCAAGCTTTGACATTCGCAAACGCGCGCCCTTTCAAACCTCTTCACAATAGGGAGTTTCAAACTTTGACATTAGCAAAATCAAGCGCGTACTCATTTGCCAAACATGCTGCACACAAACGCGCCATATAATCCACCCTTTCAAGCCTTGTCACTATGGCGGATTTCATTTGCTTCTGCAGCGTGTTTGCCCACAACTAGTATCCGCGTACTCTTCTGGTTCTTCAGCTTTGCATCACCTCGTCCATTTTCAACTAAACATGAAACAACCATCACATGACGAATCTCCAGCTTCTTCTCCTTCCCCTCCGCCATCACCTCCCATCAACAAGGTGGTACAGCACGATTGCATCCTCTGTTCCTTCATCGTCACCGTTGAACGTAAGAATGATGAGCTGCTCCAGGTCAGATAGTAGCTGTTGGAGTTCTGACTAGAATGGCGTAGGGATCGGGTTGGTGGTTGGCTTCGTTCATCTTGATGCTGCCCATCATTTTTTGAACATTTTGGCGTGTTACAAAACACGAGAGCTGATGTGTTCTGAAATCGCGTTTTGGTCACAAACGCGCCTCCACAAAAAAATTATAACGCGCTACAAAATGTTAACTAATACTTAACAGCGACAACTACACAACCACAAACTGCATTCTGATCGAACGAGGACTCGACTTCGCGAAGAAGAACATGGCTAAGCTCCAGAAGCTAAATACGTTCGACGGCGCGTGCAAACTCGTTCATAGAGCCAGGGTATTGTGAGAGGCGGTCAGAGAGTTGTTAGACCTGACCAGGTCCCACCTTCAGTTTTCATGTCAGCCTTATTTGGATCTAGAACTCACTCCTTTTTTACTCGATTAGGTGGGCACGACATTTGGAGGAGTTCAAGGAAAACAAGTGTCCATGGAAGGCGATGCCAGCTGAGTACCACCAATAAAATACGCCTATACAACGATCTATATCTGACCTGAGTCTATGGAGGCTACTCTCAAGTTATGTATCTGATCTAGCACTAGAAGAAAGATAAAAAACAAAAAAAAGCTAGCCAGCGCGTAGAAAACAAAATAAATGGTCTTCACTGCGCGTTGAACTGTATGAAAGATCTGGTGTATGTTTGACATTTTTTTTGCATGATCAAAAGGATATATCTTCGCGCCGCGGTGAGTACCACGGGTTTCAGTAGTTATCAATGTTTAACTCAATGGTGAGCGAGATGGGAGTGTAAGTAGGCGCTACTTTGCTTTTCAGTGTGGGCTGTATTATTGCTCGTCATTTATTTGATGATATACAGCCGCAATTATTAGTTCAATGCCTCAATTAACTTCGCCAACTGTGCTGATCAGCTTATTATCAGCTTGAAGAGCCAGAGGGACTGACGCGTGCAGATCTTCCCGGAGCGCCACCTGAAATTCCTCGATCAACTGAAAGAGTTCAAGCGAAGTGCGGAAGAACAGCAAGACCAAGATCGATCCAAGAAGGCAATGCGAAGGGCGGTATTTAAAGACCAAGAAACTGCTCTAAGTGAAGACATAAAGAGTAATACACTTCGCTATTGACATCTTGTATGTCCCCCGCGACCATGTCAAGCACAAACACAGTATCGCTCACGGTACATGACAACTTTGGCTTATGGAAAACTTAGTATCAACATCTTATCATCTGTTTTAATTGCCTTTGTATGCAAATGTTTCGTGATATGTTTTTTTGAAGCGTTAATATGTATTAAAACGTTCATGCCGAACTGTTTTATTAGGTCCATATTATCGTTTGATTGATACAGGATGAATTGTCCATTTTAACCAGATTGATAGAGAGCAGGGCCGGCAACTACGTGCGAATTCAATTCAGTCAAGTTTGAGGGCGTGACAAAGACGTCATCGTCAACGAGCGCAACAAACACTGTTCCGTTGATGACTGGTTGGCCTTCAGTGGTGAGGCCCGGATACAGGTCAGGCACGTCGGGCTGCTTTGTGGTGGCTTTACCGACGTCGAAGCCGTCGGAGTTGAACATCTCGACGCCCTCAAGTGGCGTGTACGTGACGTTAAGCTGGCTGATCCATGCAACAAATTTGGGTGCGCCGGCGGTGCTGGTGGTGGTGTATCTACCGTCAGGGCCCACCTTCTTGCCAGGGGTCTCAAACTCGAACTCGACCTCCCGTCCGGGGTAACTGAGTGCTGGACGCTCGGTCGAGATGGCGGGGCCAAAGTTCGGGTCAGTGCTGTTAGGGTTATTGGTGATATACAGCGCGGGGAACACCTGCCAGATCAGAGGATGCTTGTGATTGATCTCGGGGCAGGAAACAATGTAGCGTGCTTGCAATGTCCACTGCATGCTCTGCGTGATGGCTGTCTGGAACCATACTGGCATTGGGAAAAGACCCTCAAATTGGCGGAAGACCATCTGCTGGCGTGCCTCAGTAGTGACCGTCTGTAGCAGCAGCTGCGCCGACGCCCGCGAGTCGAGGTGCTCAAGGAAGCCAGCGACACCGGCCTCGCCAACCCGTGTGAGTTGCTTACTAAAGGTAATAAACTCCCTGACTGTCTGGAACGGATACTGGTACTTGCAGGGCTTGGCCGCTGCAGGGCCGAGCATGTTGTAGACGTTGGTAGCGTGGCCAACCTCCTGATCCGCCATGTAGGCGACGAGTGCTCTATCGGCTTTGTTCAAGCCGGCCTCCTCAAAGTCCTCAAGCGAGAACTTTTCTAGAGCGAACCGGAATAGATCAAGCTCAATCCATTCGGTGTAAAGGGCAAGGTTAAGCGACTGAAAGTCGAAGTCAGAGAGCGGGTGGTAGATGGGGGTCTCATCCAGTGCGAGGCCGCCGGCAGGAGTGAAAGGCTTTGGTGGAGGCTCATTGATCTCGCCGTTGGAGATGTAGCCCTTGTTGACGGGATACGGCGCAGTGATATCATTGGGGTCAATTGGCTCCTCGTGAACCGACTTGTTGGGGGCTTCCGGGGGAACGACAACTCCAGGAACCTCCACAGGGGCGGCATTGATAAGGCTGAGGGACAGGAGTACGAGAGGAACAAGGTTGACTATCGATCGCATGGTGATAAATGGAGCTCAAGTGGTGGGCAGACGAGGTTCAATGTGTTGTGGATGAATGTGAGTACTGTTGGAGAAATACGAGACGCTGGGCAACCTACCAACCTTTATATTTTTTATTTTTTATTTCTGACTAAGACCGGTTTTCAAATTTCGCGACCTTCGAATAGAAATGTAGTGACCCCGAATAAGACCCGTCGTACGCGGTGCAATTCCAATGAGTCGTCATGCTTCTCAAGTCTCAGCTTGATGTATATGGTTCTGGAACGAGAGACCCGCCGACTTGTTTTACACCGGTTTATTTTTGGCAAGACTCTACGGGGCAACTTGTGCTCAGTTCCAGCCGCATCGCCTATGAAAGGTAGGATACCTAGCATAAGTTGCCCCGTAGGGTCTTGCCAAAAATAAATCGCAAAGATATATGCAAGTCGGCGGGCCTCCCTAGCATGACGACATGTTGGAATTGCACCGTGTACGATGGGTCTTATTCGAGCTCGCAACATTCCTAAACAGGTCTTGTTCAGTTGAAAGGCATAACAATCTCAAACCTTACAATATATGCGGTGGGTAAGGGCCGCTCGTTGTAGCCTCTGCGATCCTATCTCGACACTGATACTTCTGCATCACGGAGTTCTGGATCTTACATGTCGCGATCATACCAAACGTTTGTTGGCCCGTTGTACGTTAGTTCAAAACCATTTTGCGCATTTCTGAGATCAAAATCATGGCATTAAGCCCTATCCGATTTGGGATGTTAGGGTTCAAAACCCCCTCGCACAATTCTGAGATCGATTTTGCTCTTGGAATAATTATTCAGAATAAACAGTCCTATACCTTATTTGGTCTAAAAAGATATTGTCTTGGGGTTTTTTTGTCGTTCTTCCCCATGCCCCCCCCCCCCCCCCCCCCCCGACACCGATACACCAAGCGCCAGCGCCTCCTTAGGGAGTATCAGGAAGGCTTCAGTAACGCTTGCAAGGAGTACATCAAGGAGCTGGAAATCCACCTAGGGATGTTCCCTTATATACCTATGGCTTATTGGAACGCACTCTTGTACCTCCACCAGACCCGTTACCTCCAACCGCGGATGCGCATGCCTTTTTCGACAGTTTTGAGAGAGACTATCCTCCCACAGTATGCCCCCCAGAAGTTCAGAAAAACTGCTCGCATGACGTCTCGGCAAGTTGACATGCTTGTCGAAATGATCCAAGGGAGCGGTCAATTTATCAGCAAGAATCCAGAGCGCCCACAGGCCCCGATCAAGACGCAGCTTCTAGTCGCCTTGTATCGGCTAGGCACCAAGGGTATATCTTCACACAAGATTGCTTTCACTACGGGTATTGGTCAAGGGTCGGTAGATCTCTATACATGGCGATGCATCCGGGCAATAGAAGAGCTTGAATCACGGTTCAGTGTCTGGCCAGACCAAGCCAGAAAGGCTGAGATATCAAGGTGGTTCAAGCAAGAAAAGGGTTTCCCCAATGCGATTGGCACCGTGGATGGTGTACCATTTCCCTTTGAGTCGGCGCCGAGTTACGATATGATCTCATGGAACACCCGGAAGTGCGTCTATGCCATGGGTTGCACAGCCGTCTGCGACCACCAAGGTCGATTTATCTATTTATCTACACTCCACGTTCACAATAAGCTACAAAATGTAGCTTATTGTGAATTTTGGTATTCTGTCAATTCAAAAATTCAAAAAATATATCGAAACTTCATTCTCACTGGGCCGAGGTCTATAGCATCGTGGTCATGGTTCGATCTCATAGACCTCGTTGTCGCTTATCACAATTCCCTCTATTTCCCCTTCCAAAGACAGCATGTCGGTTAGCATATCCAGATATTCCCTGGTAGTCACGGCAACCTTCCGTGTAAATGCCGGTGCATCATCTGTGTATTGCGCCGCCCTTCTAAGGCAGAGCATCTTTTGTAACATGGTCGCAGATTGATGCATACCATCCAGCACTGACCATAATGGCTCTTCCATGGAAGCGATTGACTCTTGAGAAGAAACCTGGTCGGGTGGTAGGTTCAATTGATGAACACCAGAACGAGGTTCCAGGGTGCGTTTGGAAACCACCGGCTCGCGGTCGTCGCAGCTTGATGATGAGTAATTCAGGTCCAACGGGTCATCATCATCCACTTCGTTCTCGTCGACTACAACAACACTTCCAGCGAGGCGGAACTATTTCTTGAATTGCTTATTGGACATCACCGCACTGACGCTGTCCATGAGCTGCGAGGTGGGACCTTTGCCTGCGCAACACCTGAAGTAAGCGAGCACTCCGAAGTCCTTTTGACATTCGATAGCCTTGGCGCGGTCTGGATACAGTGCTATCAGCTCTTGCTTGAGGTCCTCTAGCTCCTGATCTGTCTCATCCCCGTCAGTTGTTCGCAAGGCCTCCTTCATTTCAATAGGCACAGTAGGGACATGGGCAAGCAGTTGCGGATAGTGGATAGCTTCACATCGTTCCAGGCAGAAACCAGGCATGACCACAGGAGCTTGTTTGAGATCGTCGCCTTCTCTGTCTTTGCTCTACTCGACACTGAGATACCACGCGAATCATATGTCGACTGAACTTCACTTTGAAGGACTGGATGATCCCTGCATCCAAAGGCTGAGAAACTGACGTTGTTCTGGGTGGTAGTCGAATGAGCTCAACATTCCTGAGTCTAAGCTCGTCGGTGTTGCCGTGTCCTGGTGCGCTGTCCATCATCAGCGCAATACGTCGTCTCTCCATGGCCATGGCGGCGTCAAGCTCTTTGAGACAGCCGTTGAAAAGCTCTTGACTCATGTACCCGGAGCCTTGAAAATCAGCCTTGAGTTGTTCCTTCATATCCTTATGCAAGCCTCTGGGATGATGAGCAGCTAGATATAAATGTCAATGCCGAAAAGCAAGTTCTGTAAAAGGATGATCCAAGTACGATGAGGACAGCTTGCAATATTCTCGACTTACAAAGCACAAATGGCATCCTCTTGTCTGATCCATCAGCATTGCAGCAAAGCAGAATGGAAACCCTGGCAACTCTGGTGACTTTCTTGTCGCGAACAATGGTAATCGCCAATGCCTTATTCGACAGGACCTTCAAATACAGCCCGGCTTCGTCACAGTTATATATGTCTGCTGGCTTGAACTTGGAAAGCTGCTCCGTGATCTCTTTGAATCGTGGGCCGTGCTTGTCCATGCCGACGTCGCCCTCCTCGCCATGACCAACATGCACGTGGATGCCATAGCTTTTCTTGAGTTTTATAATCCAACCATCCGAGAATTCGATCGGCTTGGGCGCCATTCTTGAGTCCAGAAAAGGCAGCATCTGGAAATATGTGTCCACAGCCATGTCCCGTAGGTGGCTATCGTTCACAGGAATGTCTGTAGATAGGTGAGTGATTCGTCTTCATGTCGGACAAAAGTAGGTGCCAGGCAGCGATGTTCTTACTAGAGTCGATCTCGTGTTTGAACTGAAGGAAAAGTACCTTTTCAACGACCTCCATCGTCCGCGGGTAGAGCTTCGTCCTCTTTGCAGAATTCCTAGGGCCCATATTTGCCACCTTATCCAGGATATCTTTTGAATTTCTCATGCTGCGGGCCGCCGTGGATCGATCGAAGTTGTGCTTTTTGCTTCTACCGATAGAAGAGACTGATGCCTTGGGATCGTTCTCTCGTGCTGCGTTCACCTCTGCTATGAACTCTGCCTTTAAAGCCAACGACGTAGTGTCGCGCGATTGCTTTGGATGGGCAGCTCAGTCGCCAGAATAACCGGTGTCTCCGTCACGCTCGTCCGGCTCTTCTTCGCGGCAGGTTTCGCAGGTTGCGCAGGCTTGGCAGGTCCGTCCGGGTCGACACAAGTGTATGTTGTAACAGTCGCTGTTGTTGTCGCTTGCTTGACTATCGTTGATCTCTTCACCGCCGGCGCGGTCTTCTTGCGCTTGTTACTTGACATAGTGGGCTTGAGTTGCAAATGAGGATGCGGAGATGCGCGGCCGCGATGGAGAATGGTGATGAGCTGATTTTTTTGTGACATATGGCATACGGCCCAGTGAGAATAAAGTTTCGATATATTTTTTGAAATTTTTGAATTGACAGAATACCAAAATTCACAATAAGCTACATTTTAATCACAACGTAATTTAACTGTTAGTACCTCTCTCATTCCAGCTCACTCTACCTACTGCAGATAGGACGCTTGCAGATACTCACTCATATTATCCTTTCCTCCGTTTTTGGCTTGAATGTGTCATTTAGATTATTTTTTTTGGAATTGTTCAATAGTTCAATAGCTCAGTAGAATTGACCCCCTCCCTATTACTCTATGCCCAACCATCTTTAAATTAAGCAGATCTTCAATAAACGATTACCCTCAATGAATTTACATCAGTCATCAGCATGCAGAACCCTGGTTGCGCCGCAATCGAACAGTTGTTCAGGGACTCGAAGAAACTTCGGCAACAGTACCCCGTATAGATGCGATCACTCAGGAACTGGCTCCCTCTATTACTATGGCTGTTGGACATTGCAGTCATCAATGCTTATATCATGAGATGAGTTCACACGAACAACTGTAGCAAATCGAGTCATCATGACTTTCGCCTTAACTTAGTTCTCTAGCTTTAGCAATTTAGACGCCAACAATCGTGAACCACACAAAAGGAAATTGAGGATCCAAATCGCAAAGTATATCAGCAAACGTAGTCGCGATCTCAGCTACGACCGCCTCGACGCTGCAAAGCATGTTCCTGTCGTCAAAACAAAAGCTGCGTGCCAATGGTATAAGGTCAGGACGAAGGAAACTGATATCAGATCCAAGTAGTGCTTCTGCTGCACTACATGCAATGTCCCACTGTGTTTGTTAGAAACAAGGAATTGCTTTTACGACTACCACACCGCCTCAGGCATCTGAACACTCCGGTTTTCCATGGCTGCTAGTAAATTAGCATTGTGATACTTGTCTACTGAAGAAAATGTATATGGATTTACTCCGGGGATAGAATTTGGTCCTACAGAGGAAGGGATAACGAACACCAATCGCTTTAATAAATAAGCGGATCAAGAAACAATTTATGGTTTACTCCACTGCTCAAAAGGCGTCAGGTATTCCTCTAGGTCTGGTGCAGGGCATCTGAAATATGTGCTACTCTGAGAATCATTGATACATATTTGTATATTGATAAGCAGGACTGCCATAATGTAGTAATGACCGACTGGAAATAGCTCCTTAAAATTCCTCTTGTATCCAATGAAGGCAAACTGCCGGCATACTTTGCCCAAGCCCCGCTCAACAGTAAATGCGACATCTTAACATCCTGACATGGACAATACTTTGCTCTCCTGTCAGATATTGATCACGGAAAGGCACTGCTAGACAGTTCTTTAATGCATACGCTTGGCCTCCATAAATGGCGAGGCTTCGGTCATCGACTCTCTTGGAATACGCTCTTAAAATGTCCTGAAATCGAGGTCCATTGTATATATCAGCGTCGTGTGTGCATCCGGGCCAAAAGGTTGGAAGGTGAGAAATAATTCCATCAGCAGCCATAATTTCTTGAAACTTCATCGCGTGCGCTCTCTTGTGCCCATTGTAGTCGTATCCTTGATCGTGTGTTGGTTGGCAAATTGGGATGACTGCGCCGTGAGTAAACTCGCGGATGAATTCGCGGATGCTATCCAACAATCGTCCTTTGACGAAGACCTGACATACCAGCTGCTACAATTTCTGTCTTGTATATCGAGTATGATCAGAGACGAAAACACATATCCAACCATCAAAAATTGCAAGAGGTCGAGGTATAGTTCAGTGATGAAGGAGCATAGAGTTTTATCCTTACGTTAGTATAGGCGCTGTGCCCATGTGCAGTGTGCTTTGCAGTGGACTATAATGATAATAGACAGTTTGCGAAACTGAACTCGACCCTCGAGTTCGCTCGAAGTTCAAACTCAACTATGCCTCTGAGCTCTGAACTCGAGGGTCAGAAGCAAAGTTCATTCGGCGTTTTGATTGGCTTGCTACCAGGCGGCTTTGTCTGGATATACAAAATGAAATGCCAACATGCGTCTGTTATTCTATTACTCCTCTTCGTCAATGGGCTTCACACAATCCACCTTTACATTACGGCAGCAGCTGCTGCAGTATGTGCTGCAACAGAGTTCCCCTCAGCAACAACAGCAGCACCAGGCGTATGCGTCTCAGCAGCAACAACGTCCTCTCGCACCTCATCCGCCTCTCTTCTCTGTGGGCTTTAATGGGGAAGGACGGAGGGAAGGATGATAAGAACAAGAGAGTTAAAAAGCAAACACATCGCCTTTCTTTAATTAAAGCGTGTAAGCATAGCTCGCGTCTGCTTGTGTTTAGTTTTGAATGAGCTTACGCGTGAAAAAGGAGCGCTCCTATTGGCGCAGCGTGAATTTGCAAAGTTGCAATGGACTTGCGATAAGACTTTCGCAATGACCAAAAGTGCGAGCCCCTACTTGATAAACTTAGACTGTACTGGATGATTTGTTTCGCAAACTGTCTACTGTCTAATTAAGCTGTGCACATGCGCAGTACTCTATGGCGTGTAAGACCGTTTGCAATTGGACGAGGGAGGATATGTAAACAAAGGCAGTACTCGCTTTCCCAATTACCGATCGTCTCCCTGAGCATCCGTCATCGGTCCACCCTTGTTAAACGGCGTTATAAAGGTGCAGCGGAAGCCCGTTCAGCGACTATTGGCAAATAACGACTCCAGAGAGGTGGATCTTATTGCCACGATTCCCCATCTCGCCGGATATCATATATGCCAAATGGAATATAGAGCCATTATTTAGCTAAACAGATCCCACATTTATCTCCCATTTTTGTGCTATTGTATTTCGATCTGAAGGATGAACCAGTAAGTGACCGAAGCATTCCCACGCAAAAGTTCTAATCGCTTGGCGTCTCCTATTGTAAGTACAACTAATAGGAGAGTTAAATAGCTCGTTGTTAAACCCCTACACGGCATGACGACGATCACAGTGGCAGCAGCAGCGTTTATGCATCGAAATACGATCTAATCCTCGAATGGTTCCAGGATAAGATCATCAAGAAGACGCCAGTGAGGCGCAAAGGCGAATATTGACAGGACTCTGCAGCTGTAGCGAAGCGCTTATGCTGTAATGAAATGTGGTAAAGCAAAAGAAAAGGGTTTTTTATACTGTACCTATTTAATGACACGTTTATCATACTCTCCTCGCTCCCTACGAGCAACAATCGCTTTCGGCTTTGTAAGCAGCGGGTAGTTTATTTGGTTCGGATGGTGCGTGGGTTATGCTAGAAGTACAGACCGGAGATTACCAAGTTGAGCGAATAGTGGTAGAGAATGCATACATAGAAAAGTGCACTGTGCTTATGCGACACCAGTCTAGAAGAATCAATTAATCGATCGTGGATATGTCAGCACATGGACGCGTCTTGAACAATACAATAAAACACGTTTTCTATGTTCAAATTCTCGCTGCAATGGGCTCACTTACTCTCGTCGTTGCGCTCTCTCTCCGGAGTTCCTTGATGACAGCCTACAACGACCGAATTCATATCAAATCACCTTATGAGTAATTCAAATGCTTGGACATTTACCGTGTCAACCAACAATGCTTGTGGTGTTAAACATACAGCTAGTGCTTCGGGATTAACACCAGATTCGCATAAAGATACACAGATGGACAGCATTTCTCGGTCAAGGCCCGTGTTGAGGATTGAGGACATCTCTGCCAGGACTAGCGAGAGACGTTTTCGAATGAACATTAGTCTCGAAGGTGCATAGCCGATGCAAGATGAGATCTTCATCTCCAAGAGTTCAAGTTCCTTACTATCCATAGCCTGTCGTGCCTCCTGCTGTTGACATTGTTGCCTCCGCTGTTGTTCCCTCGTAGAATCTTGCATTTTGAGCACACTTTTGCTTTTTCTTGGTCGGCGTAGAAGCGTAGAAAGATACGGTACATCACGTCTTCCTGTCTCCAAGGGCGTTTATTCTTCACAGTGGCTTTGAAAGGAAGCACCGCTCTTCAAGAACCATCGCCCGCCTCATTCACCTAAACCTCCATCATTCAGACATGCAACAACTGCCACAGGACAAACAAAAGACACAGCTGCAACGGTTCTACCGCCACGAACTCGAGGAGCTCGCTCAAGTAGGTCCCACATTGCTATCTATTCCGGCTATTGCTGAGCTTCAGGGGGGTGAAAAAGCATGGTCTTATCATTGTCGATACGTGGGACGGCCAATTATGATTGTACAAATAGACCAGGGATGCTCTCAGAACAAAGTATCGTCCAGACGAGTACAGCGATTCAGGATCGGACTACAATAGCCTTAGTGATCACGATGGCGGCGACAGCGACAAATATCGGGTTGAAGCCGCAGATATGAGCACCCATATCCCAGCATCCAACGTCGGATACAAGCTCCTGCTCAAGATGGGATGGAAGGCTGGAACAGGGCTCGGACAAAATGCCACAGGTACACCAAGCTATCCACAACAATTGCGAGGATTTAGTTCGTTGAAAACATATAATGGATTCTAGACCGATGCTGTTTCTATGTGTATTTCGTAGGTAGGACGGCACCGATCCCGATCGAGAGAAAGCAGGACGTGCTGGGATTAGGGAAGCAAGAAGTCGATACTTGGTATAATGAATCGAGCACTGCCAAGAGAAAGACCACCGAAGTTGAGCGACAGGCCGAGGAAACCGAAGAGGAGCGGATCAAACGCGAGGTATCTTAAAAAATCAAAAATCTAGCGTGATGTATTTTTTTATAACTTATCCAATGCTCTTTGTTTTTTTTTTTTGCCTGAATTCAGAAACAAGTGGAGCAAAAGCGGGCGATTCAGGCAGAGCTCGAGATGGTCAAGTCGGCGTTCTATTGCGCACTTTGCGATAAACAATACGAACGCATTTCCGATTTCGAAGTTCATCTCAGCTCATACGATCACAACCACAAAAAGGTTCGTTCAAAAATACCTCCTGCTTTATTCCTACAGTTCACTTTGCTTCAACAACTGAAGCCATTTTATAAACCCGTTGAGCTCACCTATGGGCTAATATATAATAGCGCTTCAAAGAGATGAAGGATACTAGTCGCGCAGGAGCAGCGAGCACGACCAGCAAGATCAAAGAAAAGGAGCGACGGAGAGAAGAAAGAGAGCTTGCGAAAATGCAGGAGGCTGCAATGAAGAGAGCGGGCACGATGGGATCAAACAGCCCGCTCGTACAACCAGGCCTGCCAGTGCAGGCACAGAATGCAATGCCTGTAGCAATACCAACCACAACATCATCCGCAGCATCAACTGGATTTCAACCTATCAACCTAAGCGGCTTTCAGCCCGTGTCAGCTCCTGAGAATGCTGGTGGATCCGGGCCGACGACATTGTCAACTGGGACCAGTGGATTTCAGCCTGTGAAAATGGCTGGACTTCAGCCTGTGAAAGTGAGTGGATTCCAGCCTGTGAAAGTGAGCGGACTTCAGCCCGCGGAAGACGGACCGGAGACATCGACATCTGCAGGTGTGAATACAAGCACTGCCGCAGCTGCTGCACCGAGTCCCAGTGGGTTCCAGCCAGTCAAGTTGGGAGGATTCAAGCCCATGAAGATTGGTGGTTTTCAGCTGAAGAAGCCTGGCAACAAATGATATCCAGTTTTGTCACAGTAAAATACAACTTTAATTTCCCAGAAGATTGAAATGGCTACTTCAGACTCGCCCTCCTCTCGCGCTCCCTCTCCTCCCTAAACTCTTCTCGCTCCTTCTGCTGTTCACTACCCTCCCAAAAATATTGCCTCTTTGCCTTCTCCTCTTCCTCAGCCTGCTTCTCATTAATGTGTCCCTCACCGTCATACCCAACCTTGGCTGTCCCGCTGACCTCGGCACTTCCTGCGCGCTCCACAAACTCAGTGGCATGCCTCACTGCCAAGTCCGGTGATTTTTTGTATCCCATCAAGAATCCTTGCAGCTGTGCAATCGAGAAAACTTGGTCAGGAATAGCGTTTGCGAACTGTTTCGCCAACACCCCTGTCTGTTGAGCCGAAAGACTTGCTCCATATTTCAATGAGGAAGGAACGGTCGCATTGCCAGCAATAGTTCCGGATTTTTCTAAGAAACAATCATCCTGCACCAACAACTGCTTCTTGTTCGAGTTGGTTTTTGTTGTTGAGTCTGGCATGTGTGTGGAATGAGGGTAGAACTTGATGAAGAGTTCCTTTGCTTGCGACTGGGTGGCCTTTCCAAACCGTGCTCGTACGTCTACGCGACCAGGACGGATCAGTGCTTCATCCAAGCGCTCCAGGTGGCTACAATGGCGAAAGTAATAAAAAAAAAAAAAAAAAAAAAGCGTTAAATAAAGAACTGCAATGCCTAATTATCCAACAGAAGCATGCGCGGCCCTTACTTAGTAGTCATGCAAAGCATACGACCCTCTTGGGCAGACACGCCATCGACAGAATTGAGCAAACCCGAAAAAGTAATTCCTGTCGCAGCACTCCTGGACTCTCTTTGAACAAATGCAGCATCAACGTCCTCGATAAGCAGCAGACATCGCGAAGGTGTATCCGAGACCAGCTCCGACAGCGTATCATCCGTCAAGTTCTTGCTCGAGAGATTAACCACATAAATGTTCAGGCCTAGTTCCCCTGCCAGAGCGTGAATAAATGATGTCTTTCCCGTTCCTGGTGAACCGTACAAAAGCAACTAATGTGCAGATGGAGTAGAACAATAAATAGTTAGGATAAGCGGAAGTTCTGGACATGCATTCCCTTTATATTGTCATGAAGCAACCTTACACCGCGTCGAAAAGGCAAGCCACGCTCAGAGTACCAGCTTTCGCTTGCAAAAAACTCCTTGGCGTCTTCAACAATATAATTCTTCAGTTTCGGGTCCATAACAATAGTGTCCAGTGGTCTAATAGAAATATAGGAGATATGGTAAATATCGAAATCTTATGTCGCATCTCACTTGAGAATTTACTCATGTACAAAGAACACGAATCAAATACCTCTTGGGCCTTGATTTAGTTCGCCTCCAAGCGCCGTATTGATCAGCCTGGAAGATGACCGTGCGAGACTGGTCCCTGTCGATGAACTTGCGCTGTGCCTCCAAGATCAAGGACTGGATCAGATCGCGGGATCGACCCAGTGTGCTGATAGTGATGTTCTCGACGGCTGCTCCTGAAGTTGCAACCGTTGATCCTGCGGGACGTACGCGCTCCCTGTACATCTGAACAAACGCGGGATTCGTCAATCGTGTGAGCAACATGTTTTCAATGGGATGTCTGATGTTGCGATCCTCGTATCTAGCATACCCAAAGCAAGCGATTTCTGTACCAGAAAAAGTGGAGACCTATTAAGTTGACCAAACGGCAATGTAAGAGATCAACACCTAGACAAAAACACAGCGACGATTGCTCTCCTTCAACAGCATCCCCATACCTGGCGCGGGTAAAAAATATGTGGCGGCAACAATTCCATCCCCGCCCTCGCCGTTGATCTTTTGCGCGCCTCTGGCTATTGTAGTTGATACGGAGAATTGGGTGGCCTTTTTCGAATACGGGTGGTCGCTCAGCCAGTTCTAATCACCAGAATGAAACAAGAAAACTGTCAAAGCTAACGATCGCAAAACCCCCGGTGTGTAATTCCTTGCAAGAAGAAGCTCAAACCAAGAAGAGACATACCAGAATCCAGCTGTAAGATTCATCCCTCGAATCGAATTCGGCAGTGACGACGATTCGCTTCTTAAGATACTCGATCGCATGCGACCCCAGGACTCTGATTCCCGCAAGGATACCTCCGATCAATGCCAATTGGAACCCTCCTGCCGCGAACTGTATTGTCCAAATATAATAAGATGGAAGTATTACCATTAGTACATTCATTATGCGACTGCGCTTTGAATTTTGTGAGAGAAAACGCTACTTGATATACCTGGTTGTCACCAAGACCCATCTTTTCGGTGGCGGTTGAGACCAGCTTGCCGACATCCTGTGCTCCCTCGGGGAGTGAGACAAATCCATGCTGTCCTGTGAATGCCACTGCTCCAACAAGCGCATTCCTGCCCACATTCGCCAAGAAGGGCCGTATTGTGTTGTGAACAACCAAGGGACTCACAGATGCTGCTCGAAAGCCAAGGCTCGCCAAGGAGGCTGGAGCTGAGGCCAGCAGCAGCGGATTAGCGCCTGCGCTGTTCATGCCGACCATGGCTGCTGCAGAAGAAATCCTGCCTAGCTGGAGGTGCGACATGAGAAACCAGGTATTGGCCGTTTCTGTTCGGGTGATTGATTCAGAGGTGAGGAGAGGGGCGAAAGAGAGAGAGAGAAATTCATTTTTTGCTGGGGGAATGCGAGGACTGCTTGTTTCAAAACGCGGGAGGGATTGTTCTCTCTCCATGTGCTGTGCGCCCAAAAGTCGACCAACAATGAGCGGGGTCACTGGTGTCTTTTCAGCTCCCTCATCGAAAACGAGCAAGAACAAGGAAACAAAAGGGAGCCAGCCAAGACGAGCACGCATCAAAAAGCAACTTGGCCACTACCGACACTTTCTTGGCCACACACACTTCTGAACCACCTTCGCACACCAGCACAAATTACCATGACCGACCCCGCCCGACAGCCCATCTCTTACGCCAACGGACTAGAGACCCATGTACAGCTCGACGCACGGCTGGCGCAGGATTCTGCGGGGAAGGCCAACAACACTATCCATGGTACAGTACTGTATCCTGGGCTTGCCCATCTCCATTGCTTTACTATCCGATCACACCCGATCCTCTTCATGAAAGACTAAACAACAGAAGCTGGCGCTTGACACTCTATCAACAGGCATCCCCCCATTCACTGTGCCCCGCGCCGACGGCACATTGGAGGCCAGTCCAGACATCCGAGCGAACGTACCGCACACAGCAACCGTCCGGATGATGCGTCGGCGACAGAACGAGGCCCTCCGGAGTGACCAGGACGGCGACGGCAACTACACCAACCACCAAGGTTACCGTGATGGACAGAACGATAACGACGGGGATGGAAGTGGTGAGAATTTACCAGGAAGGGGAGACCATTCGTCATCGAACCATGGACATCAACACGGACTGTCTGGCAAACTGAAAGCAGGTGTCGCCACCAGAAGACCGTTTCTTCAGAGATTGCGCAAGGCCGCGATGCCGACCTTGTTTGGAGCCCTCATCGGATGGTACTACGATGCAGTAGACGTCTTGGTCTACAGGAATGATCCACGCATTAAAGGGTATGTACACTCTTGCGAACTATCGACCGTACTGGAAGGTATAATGGGGCCCTTGGATGCAAACTCATTCCAGGATGAGTCAATGTCTCACACACTTTTTTCTCTTCGTTTTTTGTTTTTCAAGAACCCTGTTGACATTCTCACTCCTGTGTCTATTGACGATGCTCTCCATCTTCTTCTACCTCGAGTTCATTCGCCCAATCATCCGTGGGAAGCGTACCGAATATGTAAACTGGGAAAAAGAGCTGCTCTATCCTGTCAGGATTGCGACCGCGTCTCTCGTCCTGGGATCGATCGGATCAAACATTGCTCTGTGGCCTGTGTGGCACCTCTCCACAGTATTTGTCCTCACTGTCCTAGCCGTCGCCATCGTCAATGTTCTAGGCATCTTTTTCTAGCCCAATACTTCGCAAATATGAAAAATCCATCCACACATGCATATCAAAATAATAGTCATAATCTTCCTCCTCGACTCCTCCCTTGCATAGTCATCCGCAATAGATAAATTTGGCTTTTTTATTGTCCACAGTTATATGATTCTCCAGTATTTCGTGCGATCCTAGCCGAGTGCATCTAATTCATCTTGGACGCCTCCAGGCGAACTCGCTCCCGCTCAGCTTCTTCACCGCTAGAAAATCACGAATAATATAATTACATAGTTGCATAGTTAATCAACTGCAGTCCTTAAACATTCATGTTGTCCTTCCATAAACGCAGACTTCTGACATACAAGGATCCATTCGAGGCTGAGGATCCAGTCCTATAGCCAGGTGAAGGTCCTCCTGAGGAAGAACTGCGACCCGCCGAGCTCGATCGCTGAGGATTGAGACGTCCTGCCTCCAGATCATCACCATCCTGGTCGCTCTCCTGAGCGTCCTCGTCCTCGTCTTCCTCGCCAATATCAAACATGGCCACCTCGTCGTCTTCCATCTCGTAATCACGACGCTGAGGACGAAGTTTCATGCCTGTCAATCCCATAGACTCGGCTGCACGAACGTTGTTGTGGTCCGCATGCTCGTCATTGTCGTCAAAGTCCTCGGTCTCCAATTGATCGATGCCGTATCTCTATTAAAATCGAATAGGGTCATATCAGCACACCAGTATTCGAAGAGTTTTTTATTGAAGCGCATCCGTCTTTGGAAGGCTTTCGTTACCTTGTTGTTCTCCGTGGGTCGCCAAAGAATGACAATGACAGTAAAGACGACCAGATACAGGATGTTCAGCCAGCCATCGAGTAAGAACCACTTGATGCGCCAATGGGTTGCTGGCCAATCGTCGCTGTCCATGTTCATAAAATTGAGCGTATTGATCACAAAGAAGGCGCACAGAACCGTGAGCGAGAAGACCAACAGGCGCCGGAGACGCGTGTACATCTTCACCTTTTCGGTCTGGCGACGTAGGTTGAGTGTGGCGATGGTCGAGGTCAACGACTGAAGAGTCCAGATGTAGAAGCTGGTCATGGTCAGGGCCAGCGGCACAACCACCATGAGCACAATCATCGCACTCACGTCGTCGACTGGGGACATGGTTCCTGCGGAATAGATGATTCCAAAGAGGAAGTGGGCAAAACTTAAAAAGATGACCTTCTTCATCGTGCTTCCAAGGGTTGGCCTAATTTCCATTTTGGACGAAAAGGCAAGCTGTTAACAAAAGGCACGAATACTTGAATGGTCCTCAAATAGCGTCAATGATCCTGTAGTCTTACTTGACAACTCCGTAGCCCATCGAGACGATCAGCAACATGAACAGCGACAAACTGTTACGACCCGAGTTCAAAATTGAGACAAGCACAAGCAAAGCCATGGCTAGATATGAATCCAAAATAAGAGGTCATCAGAAAAGTACAATAGACGGACAATTGCGGAATTCGATATAGACAGCGCACAGAACTGCTCCACTTACAAGAAGTGCCGGTCTTGTTGTAGTCGTCCCAATAGCCCCAGTTGAATGCCATTTCGACCATCAAGAAAAAGATAACTCCTGAGATGAAATGCTGCACAGTCAGGATCTCTCGCCAATGTCTGGCGCACAGGATCATCCAGCAAATCCCGATTGTCATGTAGGTCAAGGACAATGCGCCATAGAACTACAACACCAAAGAACAATAAAGCAATATGAGGAAAGGTACTTATAAATGGCGTTTGATACATCATGACAATCTCATGTTGCATAGAGTTCTTCCTTACAGGCAACTTCGGAAAGTCAGATCCAGCCAGAGTTCCGTACTTGTTGTTAAATTCGAGGATTCCTGCGTAGTAAGCATCCTCCTGATTCACTTGCACAGGCCATGTCATGACACAGTAGTAGCCAGTCTTTTGAACATGATAGTCAAAAAATTGGATGCCTGCCGTCTTCACGTTTGTGAAGTTAAGTGAGGCTGATTGAACTGTTGATGCGATCGAGGTGTCAATAATTGCCTTGCCAAGGTCCATCTCCGTACAAAATCCAGCATTCAGGGCGATGGTGTCACAGATGTAGACGGGCTGTATTTGTATTTTATCAAACCAATAATTCCCGCAACGGAATAAAAGGCACGAAGTTAATAAACAGCCTTTTATCGATATGAGCATGGAATTGTAGAGATCTAGGCGCATGCAATGACCACAGGCAACAGGATAACCCACACTTACGTCTCCATTTGGGGTATCGGTCTTGCCCACATACTTAGAGTCATTCCATTCGAACACTACCACGACCGCGTTGCCTTTCGAATCCTTGTCCATGACAACTATTTCATTTAAAAGAAACGACTCCAATCAGAGAACAAACCAAATTATCACTTCGGAATTAAATGGAACAGAGCTCTGCGGGGTGAGAGATCGGCAGTTGGACACTTCGCCTCGCCGTCCTTACTTCTGATTCCGCTATCATTAGTACCAGGGCTGGAAGCATACATTCCACCGCATCCTCCTTTACGAACATCGCTGTCCTGCAAAAAAAAAAAAAAAAAAAAAAAAAAAAAGGCGCAGAGAGAATAAAAACGCGTCAGATATTAGTACTAGTGATCCTTTTGGATGCATGCATCCCAAAACAGCAGATTGGTATGGAAACAGGCTGAGCTCAATCTACAAAGACACATACGATGAATGACTTGAATGCCTCGGTATATGATAACTGGAGAAGTGCGCAGAGTACAAATAGCACGCCCAGGAGAGTCCTCCTTGAAGGTGCCATGGCGATGTGTAAAAGAGAGCGCGAAAATTGGTGTGAATTGGTGTGCAGCTGTGGGTCTGAAAAAGGGAAAAAAAAAAAGTCGGTTCCTGGGCTTTCCAAAAAGACGGCGGTGCTGTTATGGATGTGAGGCGAGCCTGCGCTGTGCCGAGGAGGGTGGGTGTCGATGAAAAGGAAAGGTTGGACGAAGAAGGAAATAGATGAACGATGATGGGCTATTACCTTTATATAGGTCTGTACGTAGTCTCATGTTCATGTCACGTATTTTCAGTTCAAAAGAAGCTGTCCTGTAATTTTGTGATCCATCTCTTTCTTTCATTCTTGCACTCTGTACTCCACTGCTTGCTTGTTATTTCCCTCCAGATCTTTTACATCGGCCTTCACCAGAGACTCAAACACCAGAACAACACCCCAACAGCCATGGGTTGCGATGGAGGCTCTATCCCCAAGAGGGATGAACTCGTCAAGCAAAAGCAAAAGCAGGCCAAGGTCGACCAGAACATCCTCAACAGAGTCCAGTGGTTCTCCTGTGCACTCTCAAAGAAACCACTCACTGCCCCCATCGTCTCCTGCGGCCTCGGAAAACTTTACAATAGGGATGCCATACTGGAGTTCCTTCTGGACAGGTCCGCCTATGGTGATGGCGATCTGATTTGTAAGCACATCAGATCGCTCAAGGATGTTGTTACCCTGCAACTCGAACTCAATCCTTCATTCTCTGAGAGCAACTCGCCCAGTCTGACGAACCATGATCAGGAACCAATTGCACGCTATATCTGTCCGATCACTATGAAGGAGATGAATGGAAAGCACCGCTTTGTCTACCTGGATACCTGCGGATGCGTCATGTCTGAGCAGGCGTTAAAGGAGGTTCCCTCAAAGACTTGTATCAAGGTACATTTGCTTTATTATTCCAGTTTGTATCATATTCATCAAGTTATCGCTGAAACTAACTCGGCCATTCTCTCGCTTCGATGTTATTAGTGCGCTAAGCCCTTCGAGTCCTTCGACGTCATTGTACTGAATCCAAGGCCCGATGAGCTGGAAGCAATGGAAAAGGCACTATTGGAAAAGCATGCAAGGATCATGACGGAAAAGAAGGAGAAGAGAAAGGCCAAAGCCAGCAAGAAGGAGGTCGAGAAGATGAACAGTGCTGACTCCACTCTACTCAATAATACATCTTCCAGCAAACGAAAATTGGATGAGGCGACTGAAGCACCAAAGCACAAGAAACAACACGTCGCGGAAAAGCCCCCTTCTGCTCAACCAATTCAATCCGTGACGCATTCGCTGACTGCTGCAGTTGCAGCCAAAGTCGCAGAACAAATGGCTGTCAATGCCACTCGTCAAAAATCATCGGCACTCCAGTCTCTTTACAGCCGCGGAAGGACCTCGAAGGAGAATTTTATGAACCGTTGAAACCGGCCTCTTTTCTGTCATGTATATTACCTCTATATGTCAATAAACCATTGCCAATCATAACGATACGGACATGATACTTGGGTAACTCCCTAATCGAGGCTCTTGTCGACAACCTGGTTGCTAGTCTTATTCAAGAACCTCCTGTAGGAAATCTATTGTGCGCTTGCCGAAGATAAAGGCGTCTTCGAGCGTAAGATGCATGCCCTCCCCCCCCCCCCCCCCCCCATGAAGCAGACACCATGCTAACACAGAAAAGGCATTAGTTAAGCCATAGGCTCGATTTTCAGACTGGATAGAATTACATGGACCCTTGCGGGAATTGACTTGCATGCTCAGCATGGCAAATTAGTTTCCGGATGGGCTGTCAAATAGGTTATCCCGTCGATCAAAGGGACAATCTATTTGACAAACCCCCCTAGTTTAACAGTCCCATTTTGCATGCTATTTGGCAACCCGGGCTGTCAAATAGCTGATTTTTATTCATGAATTGTTCCTTGGCAACCCATGTGCGTTGCCCAATAGCGCGTCGCGTTTTCATGGGCCTAGCGACGCATCCTCGTGTTCTGATGTGTATAGATGGATAGTCCTCAGGTGCGCCAAGATCCGGTATGTGCCTTATGTGTTGGGACGGAGTGTAGAGGTGCAGCTCCAGCTGTGTGGATGAGAAGTGCCAGACTATATCAGCGTGTATAGTGTATGATTCCAAGCAAGCATAACTTATTGAACTAATCTACATAGCAAGTCTTTAAAAGGCTATGGAGAATATTACAAATGTGCTTTCAGGCTTCCGGAACCATGTATCCAATATTCATGTGAGTTTGTGAAATGAATAAAAGAAAAAAAAAATCCCCCTCTTAGGCGCAGCACTTTGGGCGTCATAGAGCACTCAGTTCATTTGAAATGCTGTCCTATTCAACAAGGAATCTTCATGAGGAAGGGATCATGCAGACATGAAGCTGGGTTATGCACTGCTTAGCACAGCTGCCAATTCATAAATTCATAAGAATATGGACTTTAATCCTTGCTGTTTTTGGGCCCCCACTACCCTCACTCCTACAATATCACTGTTCATGATCACACTCGGCCTCTTAATGGTCTTGCTGGTCTTGGTCCGCCACCTTACCTAT